AAAAAGGGAGAAATAATACTGCAAGATGGGGAGAGGGGGAGACAGAAAGAGGGATGGGGGTTAATGACAGACACCACATTTTTCCTGAAAGGTCACTTCACACACATGGCAGCCCTGTGCTGTTCTGCTAATGTCCCCCATCATAAAAGGTCCGGATTTTCATCTTCCATTTCCTTTATTTTGGGAGTCACCCATTCGTTTCATGCTGGGAAACTTTCCCTTGGCGTTGACACAATATCAATCACGCCAGTGTCACAAGCAAACAATGCGGGCAGCACCAGTGTTAATAACAACCTTATCAGATGAGACAAAAAACAAACCAGCCACCTCTTACACTTCAATCTCCAACATAAAATGACAAGAACAGGTGCGCGGGGATGACACAAACAAATTAGAAGAGAAGGAATGTGTGACAGGACGTGCTATCACCTTGTGTTAGGTCCAGGAGGAGTGGATTCAGTTGTGTCAGCAGTCCTATAGCTCACAGACACACACGGGTATACACACACTGTGGATGGCTGCTAAGGAGTCTGAGGAGTGGGATGAGGTTGCTGTAAAAGCAATTTCCTCATGAGAGAAAGGTCTCATAATTCTTGTGAGACAAAGCATCTGGGATGATTGGGGACAGATGGGAAAAACTGTATGAAATTCAGCAATGTCCTCATTCACTGCAATTGTGTTTTCGGTAACCTTTTCTCTCGAAAGTTCCTCTGATGTATTTCCCCTGTTTTTGAGGGACTTCACATTAATCATGGCTGACAAGCAGCAAGGCTTTCCTGTTGACGGCAGTGTTTCAAATGTGGAAGTGTGCCCACAGGCATAATGTATTGCGCTGGCAATAATACATGTATCCAGTCATCTCGTTTCTCGGCGCGCGTTCTTGATCACTTATCACCGATGTTTCGAATGCACAACATTTCTTGTAGTATTTGTGAGATAGCCATCTAAAAGAAAGAAAAAACTTTCTGTGCTATATATTTTGGAGCTCGCACTCCTCACAGCAGCATACCTTCTAACCCTGGAAAAAAATTGGACTTATTCCACAGCATCAAGGAGAAAATATCCAGCCAAGCGAAAGACATAAACAGGAGCTCCACTCTGCTATTATGTCCAAACATGGAATGGTTGGCCTGGCCGTGGCATGACTCGCTGATTTCAAAAAATGGTTGTAGCAGGTGAAATGCTGGAGCGGAGCCAGGGCCTAGCCTCTGGGGCGGTGATATTTATGCCTCCTCTCTCCCTCCCTCCCACTCTCTTAGTCCCTTTTTTCTCTGTTTTGGTTGCAAGACCTGACACAAACAAACCTGCAACACTAACACTTTGCTGATTTCCCAGCTGTGCCTTTGGTTGTCATTTCAGTGTCTTGGAATAATGAATCAATATCTCTCACTTTAAAATCGATGTTTGGAGAGCCATGTGCCTTTTATTCCTCCTAACTGAGTCACTTAGCCCTTTTATCTAAATGTGTAAAAGCTGTTCAACCAAGAAACAGGCATGAATTAAATATCATATATTATTATATAAATATTATATTGTGCAGTGCTGCCATAGAGAGCTGTGGTTTAAAAAGTGTAGTATTGAGAAACGTTAAAAGACCCCACGGTGATGTCATATATTCCATGTGGGTGGTAAAAATCAGGGAAGATTAGATTAGGGAACCCCCCACCCCCCCATGGAGTCTTCATGCTGGTGGTGGTAATGGTGGTGATGAGATGAGATGAAGAGGGAGCTGAGGATCTGGATGTGAAGAGGAGTGGGCTCTTATGAGCTCATCCTGGGCTCTGGATAAGGCGACTGGAGGTGAGCGATTCCGCCTAAAATGACAGCTGACAGGAACAGAGAGGAGAACAGATTTAAAATTTGGCAGCAGCAACATGAATGGCTGAATGAGATCGTGGCAAAGTTTGATTGGCTAACCAGGAGAAGGAACACCCATGGTCAGCTGATTGGAGGAAGCGGTGGGAGTGGGATAGAGAGACTTGTGAATGGATATAGCATCAAGAAAGTCTTCCTGATTGAACTAACGTGAGCTTCATTTGGTCATAGTTAGGAAAAGATCTTGTTTGGCCTATGTATCATGAAAAAAACAACTGCTTTTTGTGGCATTATTGGTGGTGAAAACAGTGACAGGTTGCTTAAAAACAGCCATGTTTATGGCTATAAAGCCACTGGAAGACTCAGTAATGACTCGCTAAAGAACACCCAGTTTTGTTGTTGGTCTCGAACAGTAGTCTGCAGCTTGGCAGCCTAAGTGCCATGTCATTCATCATCCCCTCCACCCTCTGACAACAAGTCAGGTCATACCCTATGTCACTTATTCTAATGTTGATATCACACGTATGAAATGTACAAGAAACACACAATGCCACCATTTTGTTCTGGCAACTGGGCCAAGTAGTGCAGCTATAGTAAGATGTTTCAGTTTTTGGAAAAAGAAAAAACCCTACTTTCAGACTTTTAAAAATGAAGTATCACTAGGTAAAACAGTGTGTTCAATAACAGGAACAAAACATCCACAAACAGACAGGCACAGTGGAGGAAACTGCCAACACTGTCACAAGGAGTAAAAGTTTAAACTTTTCTGAGAGACAGAAGGAAGTATGGTTTTTAATCAACAACCATCA